ACCTACCGCGCTGACCCATCAGACGGACCACGCAACCGAACACCGAGGAGGACATCCTCCTCGAGGACGTCATCAGATGCAGCGACGCTCCGACGCACCCAACGTCGCACAATTGCACGCCTTTGGCCCCTACACGACGCGCTGCGACACCACAAACGCGCAATTCCCCTGACCGACACCGTTGACCGTCAACCGCCGGAGGGCGACTGCGTCGTCACCACAATCCCCTACGTCTCGCCCAATCTCCCGTCACCGTGCTGGCGGCGGCCCAGAGCCGATCCGCTGCCAACAAGAGAGAGGAGAGGTCACTGGAAAGGACAGTGATTGCCGCACGGGTGGTTTGGGGAAACGAAACGCCGACGAGACGAACGTTGTCGAAGACCGCGACGCGTGACGCAGCGTCCAACCCCCTTAGCAGCGGAACCCGTGACAAGACGGAGAAGGGCCAGAAAACTGAACCGTCGAGACCGTACATAACACTGTGCGAGGATTCGGAAATCGCGCCGACGGTAAAACGGCTATCGTGGAGAAGGGAGCTCCGTCCGACGCGTAACCCACCTGCGAAAACAAAACGAGCGGGTCGCCATCGCCGCGGATGGGGGAAGAGTGTATGGCAATACGAGGATGCTGGGACTGTCATAAAATAACGCACGGACGAGGCGACGGGCATTGCGAGGAATGCGGTGGGAAAACGTGCGGTATCCGGGGCACCCCGACAATCGCGTACGAGTTCGGGACGAGTACATGGAACGGATCGGTGACGCCTTCTCGCAACGGAAAGCGGGACGCACGACTGCACGGGCACGGCTGTCGAATCGGCAAGGCAGGGGGGAGTGAGCAAAGAAGGACATAACTGGTCAGGCAACGGAGCCCCTTCTCACGCCACCCTGGACGAAGATAGAAAGCGAGGATCAGAGGGGAAGGAGACGGAAGGATTACGAGAAGTCTTCACGGACTAGAGACAGGACGGAGGCGCGGACGGAAGCACCAAGACAGTCCCTCTCAATGTGGCTCGATGGTAACAAGAGGAGCTGGGGAGGACGTTGGCGAAGTAGATTGGCTACGGTGTCAAGGAAAACAGGGGAAGCACGTCGGGAAGGAAAATCACCAGAGTAAGGGAGGAGAGATCAGCACGCGCGCGAATGAGCACGGGGCGAGACGCCGAGAATACCCCCCACAGAGCGGAGTCGTGGTAAGGAGCGGACGGGACCGTATGGAGGACGCGGTTAGACATGGCTCACGCCCTACAAGCACCCGTGGACGCGGACGTCCCCGATTAAGGGGGGGCCGTGTAGTATAACCCCCCCTGGGGCTTTATTTTAGATTAGATCAACTCAGAATCGGATCGGTTACTGTAGGGCTCGATGCTCTACAGTACCACCACGTGTACCCCCAAGTACAGGGCACGTGTACACGTGTACACGCGGAACGAAGAGCGCGCACACACGTGTACTGTCGGCCCCGATGGCTGACAGTATTACAGTGTCGACCGACCGCTACAGTACGTCGCTACAGTACATCGGTACTGTACTATTATGATAGGTTATTATGTACATTAAATATGGAGCGGACCGGCGGCGGTGGAGGAGGACAAGGACGGACTTGTCACCCACCGACCGTCAAGGTCCGACTTCCCGCTTATTCTAAGGTAACGCTCGCTATTTACCTTAGAAGCGGCACCGAGCGCGGGTTGAGGACGCGCGCGGTACGCTCACGAGCCGGCTCCGCCTCCGCCCGTCGGTACTGGATCGTTACCCAGTACCGCGCCGGGGCGTCGAGGCGTCGAACCGCTCGCGCGTACCGGCGTCCTCCCCGATCCCGCTCTACCACGCTACCCGGGCCCGCTGCCCGGTGCCGTTAGCTGGTGTCCTGCTTCACCCCCGTCTTCCCGATCGACAAGGGTCTCGGTCGAACTGCGCATACACCCCTATCGCTGGGGGTGTTTATGCTACAGTACCCCCGACCAGGCGGTCGGGAAGATCTCACTCCGACGAGCGGTAGGCCACAGGCCGCACCCGTCGCAATAACCCGCCACCGCAAGAGCGCGTGGGCAACCGCGCGCTACCGCTGCCCCGCGCCGGATTAACCCGGCGCGGAGGGCCCTGGACGGCAAGGAGGCGACTCCAGTCGCCGGCTTTTAATTAAGCCCAAAAGGGGGCTACGTTTTTCCTCCTAGAAGGATGGGAAAGAATCGTAGCCCCTTCCCGTTAACGGCATTGTACTCCCCGGGTCTGCCCGCGTCCGGAGGTCTCAAGACGGAAAACCGACTTTGGAAAGGCCCAGGCGGATTTGGAAACCGGAACTGTAAAACGCTGTTTCTGCTCGTTTCTACAGTTTCCTTTCGTTTCCAAATCACGCCTCCGCGGAAAGTGACAACGGCAGGACTTACCGACCGGTTTTGGACGAACGGCAGAGCGTACGGCTGCTGGGAGCTCCCCACTGACCGCACGGACAGGCTGGCGGTCACACACCCCGTTGTCTCGCGAGTGAAAGGGCGCCGTTTTTGGAAAAACGGCCAGCCCTCCGGGGGGGTGGGGGAAAATCGCTTCTTTGGCGCCAGTTTGATGATGCCCGGCGCCGGGGGAAGACGCCCCACCGCAACGGCAAGCCTATCCGGACGGTTGAAGGTACAGCGGGTCCGTCCGCTGTACCTGTAAACCCGACTTCTTGCTCGGTTCTTCAAGGGAACACTGTATGGGAAGAAGGGCTACGGTTTCCCCTCTAGAAGGGCGAATAAAAATCGTAGCCCATATCCGAGAACGGTTCCAGACTCCTGAGGTCGTCGCCGACCTGGGAGTATTTGGAAACAGAAACGTGTTTATGCCGTTCCTGACTGTTTTTACAGTTTCTATTGCTTTCCAAATAGGAACCGTTCGGGAAAGGGACTACCGTAGGGTTTTTGCTCGTGGTTTCGACGACAGAGGTACCGCACGCCCGGGGAAAGGTCTGGGACGTACCGCTGCGGGGCTGGCGGGGGCGTACCCGTGGGGTTTTGGAGGAAATAGAAGGGGAATTCTTGGAAAAATGGCCAGCCCTCCGGGGGGGTCCTGGAAAAAGGCTTCTTTGCGCCGGTTGCTCGAGGCCCGGCGCAGGCGGAAGCCGCCCAATCCAGACGGTGGCGTACCGCGAATGGAACCGGGAACAGCAGGAGCGCTGAACTCCTCCGCGCGGGTCGGGAAATGACCGCCGCTGCGGGTGTGCATGCGGGTGAGGACCTGAGGAAGGTACCTACTCTACGGCCGCGTCTCCGCGGCCGACGCATGGTCTCCGTTCGGGATAGAGGACCGTCACAGCTGGCACGGATTTTAGTCCGCCGCGACGGGGACGTGTCGCGAAATAAGGAAGGGGGTCTGTAGTACAACGGCGCGAAGGCAATCGTACCACCGCTGCCGCCCCGGGATACAGTATGATGGGCTGTAAGCGCGAGAAGAACTGGAAGGAGTTATATTTACAGCACACGGCCGGTGCGGAGTACAGTGGTACCCCGCTGGTTACACGTGTAGGATCCGAACGGTAAGTAATTAGTAATTTGTAGTTAATGGCACAAATTAGCTAATTTAGCACAGTAGCTGGTATACAGTAAGTAACAGCTACTGTAGCGGGACAGGTGTCCTAGCGTCCCACTTTGGGGTTAAGACCGGGGGCACCTGCCCCGTTCCAGTAAACGAGAGGCAGACTCGCCTCCCTTCCCTTTACGGCTTTTTGCTAACTCCGTCCGGTTTTACCTCTAAGTCTCAGGCTTCTAACCCGTGACCGGCCGTCCGGATCTAACACCACCGAGTGGCTGCGCGTCACCGGCCACGTGAGCCTTCCCTCTTTTCGAGTCCTTCTGTACGGTTTGCGCTCGCGTGGGTTACCCAGCGGCGCGTGCTCCCTTACCTCTAACCCCCCTCGTTCCGAAGGTAGTTATGCCACAATAAGTTGTTGTCTTATATTAGGATGGATTGGTGGAATGACTCTAGAAAACCCATACGTGATAATAGGTCAAATTGCTAGTAATTATTGTTTTATTTATTTTATTATTCTACTGCCCGTTTTAGGCCGTATTGAAAAATTCCTTCTGGAGTTTAAAATATAAATTAAAGATGTATTTTAATTTAAAATACATCTTTAATTTATACTACGGATAGAAAGACTTGAACTCTCACGATTTAATCATTACTGTCTAAATCTAATATGCCTACCAATTTCGTCATATCTTCTTATCTTTTTCTTCTTAATATTATAAATTTTATAACATTTGGAGCTGTAAGAGCTAATTGTAAAGCTATTTGTTGTTTCTTCACATCGACACGTTGGTGCATAGTTAACACAATTACCCCAATCATTGTTACTAACAAAATTAGACCACAAAAGAAAAAAGTAAATTAAAATGTGTATAAAAAACTTTCCCAATTACTATGATATTTGTCAAATTTGAATTTTGATTTGCTCAAGAAATTAAAAAATAATTCCTTTCCTTGAAATTTCACTAAAACCAATTCATAGAATGAACTAAAAAACTGACTCAATAAGATAACAAATGTTAAGATTCCAATTGGCCATAACGATGAAAAACTAATATTTGTGGATTTAAGTTTTATGTTTAGCATCATAAGAACAAATAAAAATAAAACGGCAATTGCTCCTACATAAACGATAATAAGCATAAACGAAAAAATTCCGCTCCTAATAATAAAAGTAAACCTGCAACATTGCCAAAAATATATTGTTATTTTTATTCTATCATTTATTTAATGGTACAAGACATATACTATGAGATTTTGGTTTCTTACTAGACATAAAATAATTATCTAAGTTTTCGCTATTCCTTTTAGTTTCGCTATCTTTAATCTTAATTTTTCAATAGTATGATTATAAAAAACCTAAACCAAAAAATCATTTCAATAGACAATTTTCCGCCTTATCAAAAGTTTATTCGTATATATCGATGAAAACCAAATTTAAACTTAAATCGTTGGTTTTCAATTTTCCCAATCTCAACAAATAATTGTGGTCCAATGATTTTAAATGCACTTATCCAAATAAAAAACGTAGAAGATTCATCTTTAACTTTTCGTCGTTCCTGTAGAGAAGGTGTATGTGGAAGCTGTTCTATGAATATTGATTGCACAAATTCATTGGCTTGTCTTCGATCATTAAATATTAAAAGTAAATTTATTACTATTTATCCATTACCACATACTTATATAATAAAAGATTTAGTTCCAGATTTATCGAACATCACATTCCGCAAATCCGAGAACAAAGAGAATGCAAAGGTGAAAGGGGAGAACTTCGAGCATGTTCAATCTTATGCACGTGCCCTACGACAAGTCGACAATGAAAACCCGGGTATCTTTGAGGATGGCGATAGATTTTTCAATCTGGATGAGACCGCCGTTAACGGGGAGTTTGGTAAGAGGGTTAAGGTATTTGGGTCTGCAGACACACACCACGGTGGATTTAGCGTGAGTTCAGCAAATTCTGGCACTGGAAAGTGTAGTGCAGTGACCCTGCACTGTACGCCTGGTCACCGCCGTCGCGGGGCCGCGCTCCCCGCCTTTGACACGTGTACTGTGCGCGCACACTTGGGAAGGTACCCCACGTGTACCACACGTGGACACACGTGTATGACAGTCGTGTGGCACGTATATGATACGTGTACAACACGTGTACGACACGTATACATACGTGGTGGCCACAAGTTTCTAAGCTAATTAACGTCTAATGCCAAGTGGCAATTCTAATGACGATAATTAATTATTAATTACGCATTTGGTAACCGACGCCGACGACAGTGCTCGGCCTATCTAGGTCGGATGTCGGAAGGCGCTACAGTAAATAGGGATCAGGTGATCGGATCCTATCTCTGGTAGGATCCTCCACGGTTCCTATGTAGTTGGCTAAGTCTGGTACCCGCACCCTTCGTCAGCATTCTTTTTCTTGTTTTTCCTTTACTTTTTGACCTATTTCTACATTTCTACGCTGTTGTTCTTCTTCATTCTTTCTTCTGTTTTCTTGTGTTGTTCTTCTTCGACGCTGTCGATAGCGGTCCGCAATACGGCCGCGACACACCCTCTCCTTCTAGTTGCTCGATCCCGAGTACCCCTTCACGCGCTGACCGCGACTCTACCTGCAATTCTCGCGTTACCTCTGAACTACCACGGACAGAGGGCCCCCAACACCATGGTGGTGACTGGACATTTCGCTGTCCCTCATAGCGAGATTTACGCCCTCGTTGGCGAGTGTGTCCACTGTACTACAGAAAGCATGTCACCGCTGTTGTGGTGACGTCCGCTTCAGGTAGAAAACTACCTCCTTTTTGTGGTTGCAGGTAAAAGCACGATGTCGTCTTGGTTTGAACCTTGTTTCATGAAGACTACAAAGATGGGAACTGGTGTCTGTCCCTGGTTGACCATTCCGGGATGGTTCCTAAGTGATGCAGTTGTTGTGCCGACAGCAAACGGTTCTATGGAGAAGGGGATAGTTTTAGCGGTGCACAGGGTTAATAAACTAAACAGAGTGACTTACTTGTGTTGAATGGGTTTTGCAAAGCGGTTGTTAAGTTAGACACACTTGGGGTTGCAGGTTGGGTGGCTCTCAGGGTTAGTGAGTGGTTGTGCCTGCCCCCTTTTGCTTTCCCCGTCCGAACTCCGCGCCTTTTCTAGAAATCGTAGCTGAAACTTAGAACAATACAGTACATGCTGGACTACAATAAACTATGCATTCATTCTATTACTTGTCTCCATACAATCGCTTATGTCCTTCGCTTTCAGCCTCCCCGACCATACTATTTATTACTACTGGATACTGTACTCCTCTTTTAACAATTCTTTTAGGTATGGCATAGAAATTATAGAGTAGTTCTATGCCATCCTTTTAAAGAATGGAGGAGTCAGTCCATTTGGGAAGGACACGCACTGTATGTTTAAACAATATAAAATTAGAAAGATATACATACCGTGCTTGTCCTTCAACCGTTACAATAGTTCCTCTACTGCTCGATCATATTGAAAAAAATGTGAGGCAGTTTGACCCGGTGGGAAAAAAATTGTTGTCTGCCTCGATGGCCACTCGTCATGAAATGGGTTTGACTGGCTGGAGTCCTGTGTAGAAAAGGGAATTGAGGTTGTCCAGAGCCCAGCTAACACTTCACATTTCTCGCAGCCCTGCGACTCATTTATAAACAAATGTTTCCAGAATGCAGTGTGAACACAGCGGGATATATTATGTAGCATGTCAGTATCAGACACCAAAGCCATTTAGTTTAAACTAATGCTTGGTGTGGTTGGGTTTCGGGCTATTTCGCAGGGCATTGTGCAAGCCTCGCGGAGTACCGATTTTTGGATCGGTTTAGGAAGGACGAATTTAGAAGGAACGAGGAAAGCAAGAAGATGAGAGTGGCGGTTGATGATGCAGGTCCCGCTGCGAGACTACCCGCAGTACATAAACGTAAGAAAGACAGCGACACGTTCGCAGAGATACAAAATGTTGTTTCTTCTGCGGCACTGCCATCAACGGCCATCGAGAGAATTTCTACGATTCTACAGGACAACACTACAGTCAGTAGTATTCTCATGTCCGTTAAGGGTCCCCAAATTGAAATGCGCTTGGGTCATGGACGCGTCGGGGCCACTAATCGTAACCTTGCTTTGGCCTGCGCGGCACCAGCTATATACCTAACGCATAGTGAGGTTATTAGAAAAAGGAAGGAAAAGTCGCTGGCGGACGAGGTTGCGAAGCATCGCAAATTACAAGAAAGAGAGCACAAAGCGGAACTGAAATCAATCAATGCAGAAGCCAAGGTTCTTGCAGCTTCGAGGCGGCAGGAGCAGAAGCAAATCAAATTGGCTGCAGCTGCGGCGAGGAAACGCCGGCAGGAGGAGAATAAAGCGGATCATAAGCGGTGCAGGTAGGCTTTAGACGCACGAAAGGCAGCTAAAAAGGCTAGAACTGGCTGTGGCGGCGTCGCTCTGGGGCAATAAGCAGTGGCAGCTGCAGCTCTCTTGGATCTACAGGGACCTCACCAACTCTTGAGTGTGGTGACCTTCGTCCCAAATTACCCCCTTTGGTAGATTTTGGACCTATTTGGTCATCGGAGGCCTGCCCATGATACAGTTTGGCCCCTTGAGCGTGGTTGAATACTGCGGTACAGGTAGTGCAGACGTGGAGGGTGGTGAAGCAGCTATTCCATGCCGTCTGGGAGTTGTACTAAATTCTCCCGGATGTGGCCACAGTCACAAACTAGTCTTCTTAACTGCACTCGCAACGCGTCGCTGTCGTTGCCTTTTCTTCACGTTGCTCATCTTTACAGAATACAAAGGCGCGAAGAGTCTCCAATGAAGCGGCTAGCATAACCCTAGTGCTGTGCACTGCACGTCCCTTGTCATTGTGCGGAAATATGAAAAGGCGGAAGACGCCGGCAACCTTCCCGGCGAGTGGAGCGCGCGGGAGATGAGCCGAGGTGGGACAGCGGCGGTAGGTGCAGGCGTGGTGGCGCATGCCAAGGGATGGTGCAGGCGTGGTGGCGCATGCCAAGGGATGGCGCAGGCCGCCCAGGGCCCCCACGCGGGCGAAGCGACGGCCGCGGCCGCGGCGCGGAATATCTGCGGGACGGCGTCCAGATAGGATTGTGTGTGGAGCGGGGAGCGCGCGCGCGGGCTGTGCGCCGCACAAGCCGCGGGAATGACGTGGGTGAGAAGATTCCAGCCCAGGGCGGTGGAATTGGGCGTCACGGGTCACGGCTGGCCGGCGGCCCGGACAAAGCGCCAGTGAAGGGGGGCGTGGGATGCCGGCGCTGGACGCCGCGCAGAGGGTGCAGGCGCGCGCGCGCGCGCGTGTAACCCCTGCCGAGTATCTTCCTTATAATGTAATCCATATAGTCAGTTGCCAGGTGG